AATACAGTAGACCCCCTATAACGCGGTAGATACGTTCCTTGTTATACGAATTTCGCGTTATAGGAATCTACGTTATAGGAACCCGCGTTATAGGGGTCTACTGTACTTCTATGACTTCGCGTTACAACCTGTATCGTGGTTACATCATCAGCTAACGTTCAGAACACTTATCACCGCAATGCATAGTGGCTAAGTAGGCACAATGTAATAAATGTAAACAAAGCGTTATCCATTTTAAGATTTTTTGAGTATTTACAAGAATTTGTAAAACGTTCGTAGAGGATTTTAAAATTATTTTTGACCCTATAAACTATCAAAATATTGGCATGAAGTTTCGTTACACTCTTTTTAATATGCCAATTACTCTACACGTGTCCAATAAAACCTATTCATTATGATTCTGTTAGAAATCTTTTCACTGTCCGTTTATTAGAAAACATCAATGGAGGGTTCAACAAACATATATCATAGTGTAGTGAACCGAATGACGATGTACCGTAAAATTAAAGAGAACCTTTATAAATCTTCCTTAAGATCGGTGCTAATGTACTTATATTTCTATAAACTTTATGATGCCTTTTTAGTATCTCTTCCAATTTGGTAGCTGAGGCAGTTGCCTTCCCCCTTATCTTACCGCACGGCTCTGCATCCTTCTCCATAGAAAGGTATGATTTATTATTAGATAATTTAAATTCTACATCAAAACTATAACTTTTAAATCCAGAAGAATCCGGAAATCTTTAGAAGGAATGCAGAAAGTAAACAATATGCCAAGCACCTGGCTTTACTTGGAAAATATCCTCAGAAGGGGATACAGTTTGCTCTGCACATACCTCTAAATCTGCCCATAACAGGAGAGCGTTTTGCTTTATTTGTGTAATGCAATAGGACATATTATGGTGATGTCTATGGGAAGACTTTCTGTGAGAACTAGCCCCTATTTCGGTGTTACTAACGTGAAGAATTCCTGGAAAACTCCACAGAGCCATCCAGTTTTCGAGGCACAAACCCACGACTAAGTACCAGTGTTCGGTGATTTTATTCACCCGGCTACTGGTGGGCCAGGTGGAGTGAAAGTTGGAGGATGGTATTCTAATTCCTATTTTACTGTCCTTTATTCTGGTTATAGAAATCTGGCAATCCTAATGATACCAATTCCTTATGTAAAATGAAGATTTAGTGGTGTAAAGGCAAGCAGTTGATCTTTGTTAACAATGGCTCATGTTTAATTGCTAGATCAACTGCATAGTCAACATGGCTGTAGCAGAAATAAGTCAAAATCACTGCTTAGATCTTGTTTCTTTAATCCATCCTAAAATTATTGATAGACTGATAAACATAGTGAGCAAAATTGAAAAAATAATGTTTTAGAATTATTATAAATAACTATAAAAAATGCATATTTAGAAACAATTGTTTTTATTTTTCGAAATAATTAAATCACTAAATTACAGCATCAACAGTATTTATTTAACCAAGTAAATACTAACAATATTTGCCACTTTACTGTACATTGCCCATGTTTGGAATAGAAATTTGTCAAGTATTTTGGTTTCAGTTTAGATTTCCATATATATATATATATTTTTCTTTCATGGGCATGTGATTTGGGCATCATTATAAAACCCTTTAAAAAGAATGTAAAAAAAAAAAGGAAAAATAACAATTGTTAAGTATATTAAAATGACATTTTGTTATACAGAAAATAGATCAACTTTCAAAATATTTTATTAACACATTCCCCATAGATCTTACCAATTGGAAATGTTATATTAATTTATTAACTAATGCTCCCATTATGGTTCAGTAAAATATTACAAGGTAAAGAATTTATTGTATATATGATGTATTAATTCATCTGATACTGTAATTGTTAATTCATCTATTGGGAATCTGTTAATATTAATATAATTAAAACAAACATCAATTATCATATATTATGCATTACATAATCCCTAATTTATATCCATTTTGGCATGGAACATAATAAAAATGACAATTTTCCACTCGACAAACTTAATTTTTATACAAAATTATTCAATTTTTAGTTTTACAAATCTATAATAATGTTTTTTTTTTTGTTTTGTTTGTTTTACATTTATATACATGTGATAATTAGATGTTACAACAGCATCCAATTCAAAACTTGACAATTATACAATGAACCGAACAGTTCACACACTTTGATAATATATCTTTCATACAATCAATCATGGGATACAAACTTTTCTTTATATCAAATACATCTGACCACACATAAGTCTAGAGATGTGTTCCCTTGGAGTGGTAGAAGCACATACCTATCAGTAAAACAGTTCAAAAATTCGAAAACCCACTGAGCTTATAGATCAGTATCATTCACAATCAACTTGCAATATCACCAGTCAAACAGAACACAGCTTATGAGTCAATTATCTGGAAACGATTTGACATTAATATATATCCGACATATATTTCTTTGGCATTTAAAGCCCATTGGCAAGAATATTATGTACATTTTACATCATCTCATATCATCATTCCTTTCCTAAACTAAGAGTTATATGTATATATATATGATAGATGGCACATTTAGTATAAAATAGTTACCAATATCACAAAGAATGTTAGCTCTTGTTGTTTTGTTCATGTATATAAATGCTTAATTGTGATTAGAAGGTATATATTACCACCAGAACTCAAATATATACATATATATATATTATATATTCTTTTATATAAAAAATTAAGGATTAGTATTTTTGAAAAGATGTGAAACATATGAAAATATATAAGATTAATTTTTATTAAAGATATGTGAATTAAATTAATATATTTTTATTACCAAATAATTAAGTTTTATATACCATATTTTAGGATAAAGTGCTTATATTTAGTTAAATAAATGTATATATATATATATTTCTTGAAAGTAATCAGTAAAATTGCAATAATTTATTTATTTGCATATATTTTAAAGAAATTTATGAGTTTCTATATAAAGGGTGAGTCAAAAGTTTCCATACAGAATACAGACTACCTGCCTCTAATTAGGGCCATATTAATGCAGAGCTGCAGCCAAAGGCCTCGTCTCACTGCTCATTACTATTATTTATGTTTTATTCAAAGAAATTGGACTGGGGCCTTACCAGTGCTTAATATGACTCTGCATTTAACATTAAATATGCTAACCTGCATTTTTATGTGTATTCAATTAAAATGTTACCCACATAGATTATATCTTGTGACTTATACTGTGTGACTATGTAATAAATTCTCAGTGTATGGAGACATTTTGAATCACCCTGTGCAGAATTTCTTTTTCAGATGAGAAGTGCTCCTATTATAATAAATTAATGTAAGTATAAAATGTATGTAACAATTTTTTGTGGAAGCTCTTTCAAGATAAATCCAACCGAGTATAAGTGAGAATTTATTTCACTTTAATAAATAATTGAAATTAAATTTAAACAGAATAATTATTACAGTTAAAGATTATACAGTAATGCAGAATATTCTTCTCTTTTCGTTGATAGAAAATATACAATATATATGTATAGCATTATATTTAAATTTATATAAAATATATCACCAATGTGAATAGTTAACTGTATTTTTTTTTTCTGTATTTTTATCAGATAAATGAATGAAAATCAGATATATGATTCCTCTACACACTAATGCAGCAAGTTCTGTGTTCACAGGTTTGTTATTCTGTCTTGTTTGTTTCTTAATTTGTTTTTTTTTTAATCTAAGGCAGCACAGCAAACTGTTTCACTAAAGCAAGATATAATTCATACAAAAACAATGTTACAAAAGTTATTTAGCATTCTGTACAAATTAGTTTGGCAGAATGGATCTTATATGTATTTCCATAGCCAATTCTTATGAATTATTCTCTGGGAATTTATAATTTTAATTGCTTAGCCAGCTAGCAAATTTCTGTAAAGTTTTGTTTGTAATGTTAGCTTTTGAATGTCTGCTCAGAAAAAATTCTACAATTTGACAGTATTTAGAATTATTCGAATATACTGTAAATATATATGTATATTGAAGAATAATTTATATTGATATAATTAAAGAGATTGATGCAGAGTGTAAGATCAAATACCATCTGCATTTTTAGTCTAAAGATAGGAAATAATTGTATCAGTTAGTTTCTTAATAACTGTTTCTTTTTATATATTGAAGAATGGAAATTCTCTTACATTTCTTGCTTAAATTTTCTGTAAGAGAATTACATGTTTAGAATAAATAAAAAACAAGCTTTATATATATATATTTATATACTTTTTTTTTCTTCTTTTCTTTCTGAATAACCACACTTTCAGAAAACACAATTTGAATGCCAGAAGAATAACGGCAAATACTTTTAACCATTTAAATTTTTAATTTAATGTTTTATAATTTCATATTCAGTTTCAGTTTCCTGTCTTTAATCTTACTTAAATCCCTATCTTTTTGGAGGATGCTTTAAAAGTGTTTACATGCCAAGATTTTGCACTTTTGACTTCACTTGATTAAATCTTGTTCGATGTTTTAAGTGAATTAATATATATTTAAAGAATATCTCAACTGAAAAATTTCATTTTTGTTTTTTAGAAAACACTATCATACAAATATCTTTTATTTATTTCATTTTTAACATTTTTTTTCAAGTCCTAAAAGACTGAATTTAATATACAAATTCTAACATCATAAATATATATATGTATATTTTTTTCCTCCCTATATTTCTTATAGAATTTTTTTAAAAAAATAATAGAAGAAAAAACAATAAACTTTCAATAAATACTCCATTAAAAATTATATATAAATAAATATATATTGATTTAAAGTAGATAATATATAATACAGTCGACCCCCCTATAACACTGTTGACAATTCTGTTTTATACGAATTCCATGTTGTATGAGTCACTTATATTTTACAAATATGTGTGCTGTGGCCGGGCTGTGAACAGCTCATGTATTTGTAAAATCTAAGTGACTCATACAACATGGAATTCACATAAAACGGAATTATCAACAGTGTTATAGGGAGGTTGACTGTATATAAAAATAATGTAATGGAAACTTAAATTTTATCACCATTTAATAAACACAATTCAAATTGTTAAACAATAAATCTTGCTATATAATGAAGTTGACAAGTATTTAACAATAAAGAATTGATATAGACAATCTTTTAACCTCCCGTTTACAGCCAAACCTCGTTATAGCGCCCTCCTAAATAGCGATTTTGCACTGTAAACGTCATTGTTGTAATCAAATCACATGCCTTGCAAACTCCCAAACTCAAACTTAACTCATTACTATACACAGTTCTTATTGTTTGAGATACTTCAGTTTAGCGCCACACCCGATTTAGTGCGAATATCGGATGCACTAATCGAAATTTGACTGTATTCATGCCATATTAGAATACTGATGGGTCATAATGTGTTTGTTCATGTGTCATCAACGTTGTTGTTTTATTGTTCAGCGATATCAAATTCCAAGTATCCATATTAGTGTTTAAAAACAATACAATTTTACAGCTTTGTGTCCTTCGAACTAAAATGATTCTTCAATGGAACAAATATGTACAGTGTTACAAACAATTCACTGTACAAGGAGGGACTTTATTTTAAGGCAATAGGAATGTTTTCACATTCTCCTTCTTGTTTTTCATTACAATATATATATATGTGTATATGTTTATATATATATATATATTTATTTATTTATATATATAAATAAATGAACAAACAAAAATATTGCAGTGTTGCAATTAGCGTTTTTATTTTCTTATTTGTTTTTTCTTTTTCTCTTCCCCTTTAAAAATGTTCGTAAAAAGTATATTTTGTCGTAAATTAAAAAATAATGTCGTAAATATACACATCGCTTATACAGCATCATCTATCTCCAGCTCACTGTAGTGTTATATACAACGTGTGGTGTCAGAAGTGGCAGATGTCATCTCCCAATGAGGACATTTGGAGCATGCCACTTTATATTAATTGAATCCCAGGTGTTTATTTAATTGATCACGATCAAACCCAACCAGCTCCTGACATAGACAGGGGTTGATCGTGTTTCCTAAACGATACGCTTGTCTTGACGAAATTACTGGTCGTTCTCTGTTTGCAAGCGGTGTGTGCTAGAGCAGCTGCAATACTGTGATTTGATGCAACCGTTTGTGCATGAGCCTTTGCCACAGCGTGGTTTGTATTCGAACGAAATACTGTCTTGTTCTTCTCTGATATGTGATCGGGATCTGATAACATTTTACCTTCTTCTGTTCTTTTACCGAATGCCTTTACAATAATAATCTATTAATAAAAATATACATTATTTTCTATTTTATTGAGATTATATAGTACACGAAACTTAAAACACATTAAATTTCGTAAATTGTGCCGACGGTTTGCAACACTTCGCCATCAGCCTTTGTCTATGCCCTCTATCCTTGGGTTTCTCTAAGATGCAGTGATGCCAACTTAGGGGTTTTCTCCAAAATTTAGTAGGAAATTAGCAGGATAGGTGAAAATTTAGTCTGTTTGTATTGTTTTAGCAACCAGTAGAAGCTTCCAAAAGTCAAGACTGTTCTCGCGGCGAGATTCGTAGCAAGTCCCTTTGTCACATGATGTTTTGCTCAAGTGTGCATTATGTACCTGCATATGCAAATACATAATGCACACTTGCAATGCAGTAATATGCATTGCACCTGGAGCAAAGCTACTTAGGTCTACTCTGTTGGTTTTAAGGAGAATTTCAGGTCTGTGTAGGGGATTTTTACGAGAGAAGTTGGCAACTCTGCAAACCGTGTTCATGGAGAGCAACAACGCTAGAGGGAGTCTTTGTTCTACCGTCACACTACAAGAAAGATGCCGCACGTTAATACACGCACTCCTAACTTTATAATACCTTGGGTTAAGTGTATTTCTTAATCCAAATAAATTAACACGTGCTCCAACAGACTGCGCTTCGGTAGAAAGGGCTGATCGATTAGTGTTGCCAGCCGTCATCACAAATAAAAGCTATTATTAATTTCTAAACATTGATTCAAGACCGAAACAGATTGAATCTTATATTTGCAGTTGGATTTCACAGCTTTAGTTCTCGGAAACTACAGTTTAGGGCCTTGCGTTTCTAAATCGATTATTATTTAGTGAAGGGAAGAGCCCCTTATATTTTGTAGGGCTGCAACAACTCGAGATCTGGCTTCGCCTTCATCTCTAGCCGAAAATAAATACTAGGCAAACCGAAATAACGACTTTATTATACAAAATTGAACGCGAAACTGTTTATAGAGTGTTAAATAAGTTTGAATTATCTTACCAGAACAATAATGACGCAAATAAAAAGAAGGATAACTCCCCACCAGTGATCTAAGACCCATCGTTTTAGGGATGCTATACTTTCAGTAGATAATAATAGTTTACGTAATGTTGCTAAAGGGCCTGATGGATCTACCTACAATTAAACAAATAATATATTATATTTTCTATAATTTCAAGTGTAATAAAATTAATTTAACTGTAATTACTTCACGACATTTTTGAAAAACATCACAGTATCCGTTATAATTGTCGCAGGGAGTTCCAGGTTTGGCATATAAATCAGGCACATCAAACGGTGAAGAATTCCACTCAAAGGATGATCTACGTAAAGAAAAATAATAGTAATTAATATGGATTTATTAATTACGCCATTTTTTTTAAAAAAAGAATTCAACGTTTTCTTTACTTGCAACTATGATCGTTTCCTGGTAATTTGCAACAAAGTTCACAGGCTTTCGTTAAAGGATCGTGTAAGCTTCTTTTACATTGGCATGATTCTAGTCCATACGCCATACATATAGAACCCGTACATTCCTTGAATAAGTAAGGAATATTTTAATTATTCATTCCTTAATTTCTTTTTTAAATGAAGTAGAAAAATTAGTAGACTTACTCCCATATAACAAACGAACTCGTCGTTGCAAACTGTTTTGTTAGGTTTGTTAGTAGAGGAAGGACAGTGTGGCCCTTGCCCAGTATTTTAGTTAAGGATTTAAATTTATTTTTTAAAAAATATATATAAAATTTAATATATAAACTAAATTACTTTTTATTAAAGCCTGACCCAAAAGTCAGCTAACTGTGCTGCTGTTTCGTTCGTTGCAGGCATACCAATGGTAAACTGAGTTTAGAACGATATTGGTGCATTAAAAATACATTTCATTAAGCGTTTAAAGTATTTGAATAAGAACCGGTTAACTGACTTTTGGATCACCCCTTATAAAATTTAAAAGATGATTGTTATATAGTAATTACTGGGTGGTCCGAAAGTCAGTTAACCATATTCAGTTGTATGTTCCAGTATACAATAGCGAATATGAATCACAAACTGTACTCTTCTTGGACAAAATTAATGGAAAGATTATATTTTAAAATTGCAAAGTAATTTAATCTTTAGTTAACTGACTTCTGGACCACCCTAGATAGAAATTAAATTATACAGGGCGATCGAAAAATCAATTAACCGTGCTTTGTTTCGCGTGTTATACTCGTTAATATGGTAACAATAAACCGAGTTCTTGGTTACAAAAATATATTCGCAACAGTTAACCGACTTTTGGACCACTCTGTGTACATAAAATTGCAGATAATTTAAAATATTTCATTTATTTTCTTAAAAAAATTGTAAGATATTAGAATTTTATTTAACATGAAGATCCTGAAGATCTCACGGGGTTGAAACAATATAAGAAAGAAAGAAAAATGCAGGAAAGTAGCATCAGTTTATGCCAGATTATAAATAACATCTGGTACTACCAGCTCACACAGTAAAGTCAGCATCTACTAGTGGAATCTTAGAACAAGATGGATATCAGGAAAGAAAGTTTGGCCATCTTAACAGTTTGGCACAAAGTCGCCAGAAAATAGAGTTGAACATTTTATTTTTTTCGTTAATTTTATATCTTTTCCTTTAGGAGGAAGCTAATAAAATACTGCCAAAGATTCGTGACTTTCAGGGTTTTACGTAATTTTATAGGTTAATGAATTTTTTTCGTACAAGAAAGGATGATGGCGATGGTGAATTATATTCTTTTAATTTTATTCTTCTCTAATCGTCACCGTTATTTTAATAAATAACCAGATCAAAGTTCGTTGGAGTTTCATCCTTGTAATTCCTACATCTTGGATAAGCATTTTTGTAGAGTAGTTATGGTTTTTTTATGTGTATAAGTGGTTTGGAACGAATATATCGGTATTCATCTTTTCTAGTTGGCTTCCTCGATGTGCAAGATGCCACGTTGCAAAGATCCACAACATGTACCCAAAAGGGCACTTATTGGTTGCCCTTGCACCACTTGAAATCCTTTCACAATATCTTGATAGCAAAGGTTATAAAAGGGCATCAGACGTAACAGGCTTTCTGGTTGGCTGCCAGTGTTTATTTGGAAGAAATTGGACCACCATTTCATAAAATGGTGCTCCAGTTTCTTCAGGATACTATTTCTTCTAGGTAGGCAATCATGATTGTCTAGTGCCACGTGCAACAAGCTCCATTCAGAACAAATTTATTACATGTTATGTTAATTATAGAGAAATTAATAGCGAGGTTGCGGCCGAAGTTTTCATCTCTAAAACGTGAACGTCGAACGTCGAGCGCTGCTTACAAGATAGCGGCGCTCGACGTTCGACGTTCACGTATTAGAAATGAAAACTTCGACCGCAACCTCGCTAATTAACAAACTGAATATACTTCCAGTATATTCATTAATATAAATGTAGTAATAATATAGAAAACTTACATTTTTCTATAAGGAGATCAATTTAAATGCTGCTAAGTAATAAAAATAGTATTAATACAAGGTACACATTCTTTGTATGGTATAAAACAATAAAAAAAATTTATAAAGATAACTCCTATGACAAACTGAGGTTTATATTGAAAATTATAATGAATATAAATAATATATATAATTTAATTGAAGAAAAACATGTCTTAACTGGCCGGGGACAGTCTAAAAATCATATATAGTAGTTATATACTGTATGTATAATGTTGGAAGAATGTGATTTATTCCAAACATATTCTTGATTTTATATATATATTTGTTTAGTACATAAAATAAAGGTTATCTCATGATTTCCATGTCAAAAGGATTTTTTAAAATGTTCTTTATGCCATTATTTTCCTGTAAAAATAGTAAATAGGTAGAGCTAGACTGATAGAAGGATACTAAAAAAAGTATTTTATTTATTAGGCCTAGTTTGTCCCATATTTCTCTTGTTTTAAAACCTCAAAAATAATATAAAATTTTAAACACGACCATTTTATAAATCTTCTAATGCAATATAACAAATTTATAGATCAATATATAAATAATTTTAAGAAAATAAACTAAATTTGGACATTTTAAAACCCATTTTTTCACTCTGGTTTGGTCAATAAACAATATAATCATTCTTAATAAAAATAAGAATAATAATAATGTAATTGTTATCCAAATGAAAGCGCTATATCGGGGTATAACCTCGATATAGCGCTCTTGTATGGATTAAACGCATTAACGAGGTCTATATACAATTTTCAGTTTGAAAGTCTACGTGGTTTGCAAGTCTTATGTTTAATAATTCAAAGATACCTCGATATAGCGCGCTTCTAAAGCTATCGTATACTTGCGAATGTGTAAATATTAAACAGAGCATCCATCTCTCTGTATCTGAATTTTTAAACTCGTGCCTTTCATACTCAAAATTGTCTGTAAACCTCGTTACTGCGTATAATTCTTCTTCGAAACACTTCGGTTTAGCGCCAGACTCGATTTACTCACACGAGAGTTCCAAGTTAACCAATAAGCGTTTACGTAATGAAAGTAAAGTGAATTGGAACTGGCTAAAGATGCGTTAAATCGAAGTCCTATTGTACTTTTATTATTATTATTAATTCTTTTTAGTTTACTAGCGATGGAGGAGAGACTACCGCCATATTTCTGCATTTATTTTCGAGTAAATATTATTTAATTTCTAAAAAAAAAAGAAAAAAAATTCCTGGAATCTACAGAGGGAATTTGCTGTGTTAAGATACACTACGTGTGCCTTCATCATAAATATGCCGGTAGTGAAGTATTATTAGTGTTAGTCCAATAAAATTCTTGTTTCTTTATACAGTAAATACAGGAAACACTACCCGCATCACAATGTTTTTTTTTTATATCTTGTTGGCTTTGTGTACATGCCGCTATATCGCAACTTAGATGAATAGTTTCTTGAATCCTCCGGAGAATTGCCCGTGTGAAGAGAGAGATCAGAAACACACAAGGAGATAACTTGGTAAACTTCCAGTGTTAAACTGTTGTTTCTTCTAAGTTAACTTCGACTTATTGTTGTTACTTCTCTTTCTTTCTTTTTTATAAACAACTCATAAGAACTTTAAAGATAACTCTAAAACAATAGCTAACAATTCGTATAGAAATAGGCCTGTATATGTCTATATTTTTGTTTCTATGTATAAAGGATTTTTTACTCGAACCTCGATTTAACGCCAATCTGCGTTAAATCGAGGTTCGAGTGCGATTTTTCTCTTTGTTAACAACAGTGGGGAATGACATGGCTTTCTACTTGTGCTGACTTATTGTCTGAGATACTTCGGTTTAGCGACACAATCAATCGAATGTGGCGCTAAACTGAAGTATCTCAGACAATTAAGTCGTATAAAATAACAATGAAGAAGAGACCTATGTATTTTTTTCGTATATGTAAAGGATTTCTAGTCGAACCTCGATTTAACGCTAACGAACAGAACTTCTTCGTTAGTAGCGAGGTTGTGGCCGACGTTTTCATCGCGAAAACGTGTACGCCGGACGTTCAGCGCCGCCTTCCTGTAATCCTAAAAGTTTGATAATGGCGTTTGGAACGTTAGTGGAATCATACTCGAACGCCATTGTCAAACTTCTAGGCTTACCGGAAGGCGGCGCTGAACGTCCGACGTACACGTTTTCGCGATTAAAACGTCGGCCGCAACCTCTCTAGTATTAAGTGGAAAAATACATCGGACACGATTCGGCTTTGTAAACGACATTGTGACTACCTAATCACGTGACTTTCTACCCGTGTTGACTTCGTTACGCATATGCCTACTTCTTATCGTCTGAGATACTTCGGTTTAGCGCCACATTCGATTTAATTAATAGCAATTTCAGTGCTGTGTTGCTAAATCGGACTTTGACTATGTGTATTTATTTACATAGAAGAGTAATACCTCTATACGTAGATGTATGTGGGCCCTCGATATAGTGAACTGCGAAAGATGAATAGCCAACGAAGATGTTCGCTATATCGGGTGCTATACGATTTATTTGAGATTCGTCTTACGGAAGAGTGTATTGTTACGCTGTTAAATGAGTTGTTCTTTCATATTAAATTTAATTATAACAAAACAATAGTTTAAGCCCGAAATTCAATTTTAATTAAGCAATAAATACGATGATAACTTAATTGCGTTAAACAATATTAAATAACATTAACAAAGGATATTCACAGAAACTGGCACTCCTGCATCCATTATCACCTCTGCACTCTTCACCCACTTTAATTTTGCATTCGTGTGTGCAACATGGTCCTTGACTCGGGCTAAGAATTTAATACACATGTAATGATCATTACACTAAAACAATTAACATTTAAATATTGCACCAATTTTACAAATGACGGTAAAGCGGGGGGGGAGGGGTATACGAGTTATTAATTGGATTAGAATACCTGCAAACTACGTTGGGTCTAAGATGGCATGGCGGTTTATCACGTGGGGGATTACTACGCATAGGAAAACAACACGGCTCTTTACAATCTTCCTCCCAACCGCAGTCACATTCTTCTCCCCTCTCTACCACTTCGTTCCCGCATATAGCGTCTTGAGGTTCTGAAAAAGTTGGTAGAAGAGACAATGAACAACACACGTAAACACGTAAAACTGCGCGTGTACGTGTAAAGCATTGTTGGCCCACAAATGTCGTGGGTTCGGGCCTTGCCACGCAGAGTTTGGTGGTTTTTTTTACGTTCGTAACGCCTCAGCTTCTCTTAGAAAGTGTTTCCCTTCGCATATACAAAACAAGTAAAGTATTGTTTCTTCATACCTGTGAAGCAACCTTTCAGGCTCCTGGCTTTGGTGTTAAGTACTGCGTTAATGTTTCTCAAGCTGCAAGGTGAGAATCTGTTGTTGTTTCTCTTATCTCCCGACGTTGCTCTTGCAAACATAATATAATTCCCATTATCACCTCCCGGTGTGCATATATTATCGTCTTCTGGATCATGCTGCGTATATAAAAGTCGCTTACATGATTTTTACTTAGCGATTTAATTGTTATCTCTTAACATTTAATGTATAAATTTCATTACTTTCCCTCTATTTAACGTCTTTAAAGTCGATTAAAATTTAATAAATACTTACAGGTGAACCGAAGTTATGGCCGATTTCGTGTGCCAAAGTGACGTGAGACACAATAGGTGGTACGTATTTTCCATAATTTAATAGAGTAACAATTCCAGTGTTAAGACTCTTCAAGCTCCCTCTGTAATGCTGAAAATGAATTAAAATTTAATTTATTATTTAAAACAATAATAATAATACAAGTCGACCTCCCTATTGATAATTCCATTTTATATGAATTCCATGTTGTAAGAGTCACTTAAATTTTACAAATATGTGAGCCATTCACAGCCCGGCATACGTACTTGTAAAATCTAAGCGACTCGTACAACATGGAATTCATATAAAACGGAATTATCAACAGTGTTATAGGGGGGGTCGACTTGTACAATTCTTTTCATTTTAAAAATGAAGTTTGGAATGATGAGTAAAGTACTAATGTCCTAATTAATAATGAAACACAACGTTAGAAATAATTAAGATATTCTACAATTTAATTGATGTCTATTAGTTAGTTGCATTAATTATATATATTTGATAATCAAATTAATTAAATATGGCAAAATAGTATATNGGCTCATGTATTTGTAAAATCTAAGTGACTCATACAACATGGAATTCACATAAAACGGAATTATCAACAGTGTTATAGGGAGGTTGACTGTATATAAAAATAATGTAATGGAAACTTAAATTTTATCACCATTTAATAAACACAATTCAAATTGTTAAACAATAAATCTTGCTATATAATGAAGTTGACAAGTATTTAACAATAAAGAATTGATATAGACAATCTTTTAACCTCCCGTTTACAGCCAAACCTCGTTATAGCGCCCTCCTAAATAGCGATTTTGCACTGTAAACGTCATTGTTGTAATCAAATCACATGCCTTGCAAACTCCCAAACTCAAACTTAACTCATTACTATACACAGTTCTTATTGTTTGAGATACTTCAGTTTAGCGCCACACCCGATTTAGTGCGAATATCGGATGCACTAATCGAAATTTGACTGTATTCATGTCATATTAGAATACTGATGGGTCATAATGTGTTTGTTCATGTGTCATCAACGTTGTTGTTTTATTGTTCAGCGATATCAAATTCCAAGTATCCATATTAGTGTTTAAAAACAATACAATTTTACAGCTTTGTGTCCTTCGAACTAAAATGATTCTTCAATGGAACAAATATGTACAGTGTTACAAACAATTCACTGTACAAGGAGGGACTTTATTTTAAGGCAATAGGAATGTTTTCACATTCTCCTTCTTGTTTTTCATTACAATATATATATATATGTGTATATGTTTATATATATATATATATTTATTTATTTATATATATAAATAAATGAACAAACAAAAATATTGCAGTGTTGCAATTAGCGTTTTTATTTTCTTATTTGTTTTTTCTTTTTCTCTTCCCCTTTAAAAATGTTCGTAAAAAGTATATTTTGTCGTAAATTAAAAAATAATGTCGTAAATATACACATCGCTTATACAGCATCATCTATCTCCAGCTCACTGTAGTGTTATATACAACGTGTGGTGTCAGAAGTGGCAGATGTCATCTCCCAATGAGGACATTTGGAGCATGCCACTTTATATTAATTGAATCCCAGGTGTTTATTTAATTGATCACGATCAAACCCAACCAGCTCCTGACATAGACAGGGGTTGATCGTGTTTCCTAAACGATACGCTTGTCTTGACGAAATTACTGGTCGTTCTCTGTTTGCAAGCGGTGTGTGCTAGAGCAGCTGCAATACTGTGATTTGATGCAACCGTTTGTGCATGAGCCTTTGCCACAGCGTGGTTTGTATTCGAACGAAATACTGTCTTGTTCTTCTCTGATATGTGATCGGGATCTGATAACATTTTACCTTCTTCTGTTCTTTTACCGAATGCCTTTACAATAATAATCTATTAATAAAAATATACATTATTTTCTATTTTATTGAGATTATATAGTACACGAAACTTAAAACACATTAAATTTCGTAAATTGTGCCGACGGTTTGCAACACTTCGCCATCAGCCTTTGTCTATGCCCTCTATCCTTGGGTTTCTCTAAGATGCAGTGATGCCAACTTAGGGGTTTTCTCCAAAATTTAGTAGGAAATTAGCAGGATAGGTGAAAATTTAGTCTGTTTGTATTGTTTTAGCAACCAGTAGAAGCTTCCAAAAGTCAAGACTGTTCTCGCGGCGAGATTCGTAGCAAGTCCCTTTGTCACATGATGTTTTGCTCAAGTGTGCATTATGTACCTGCATATGCAAATACATAATGCACACTTGCAATGCAGTAATATGCATTGCACCTGGAGCAAAGCTACTTAGGTCTACTCTGTTGGTTTTAAGGAGAATTTCAGGTCTGTGTAGGGGATTTTTACGAGAGAAGTTGGCAACTCTGCAAACCGTGTTCATGGAGAGCAACAACGCTAGAGGGAGTCTTTGTTCTACCGTCACACTACAAGAAAGATGCCGCACGTTAATACACGCACTCCTAACTTTATAATACCTTGGGTTAAGTGTATTTCTTAATCCAAATAAATTAACACGTGCTCCAACAGACTGCGCTTCGGTAGAAAGGGCTGATCGATTAGTGTTGCCAGCCGTCATCACAAATAAAAGCTATTATTAATTTCTAAACATTGATTCAAGACCGAAACAGATTGAATCTTATATTTGCAGTTGGATTTCACAGCTTTAGTTCTCGGAAACTACAGTTTAGGGCCTTGCGTTTCTAAATCGATTATTATTTAGTGAAGGGAAGAGCCCCTTATATTTTGTAGGGCTGCAACAACTCGAGATCTGGCTTCGCCTTCATCTCTAGCCGAAAATAAATACTAGGCAAACCGAAATAACGACTTTATTATACAAAATTGAACGCGAAACTGTTTATAGAGTGTTAAATAAGTTTGAATTATCTTACCAGAACAATAATGACGCAAATAAAAAGAAGGATAACTCCCCACCAGTGATCTAAGACCCATCGTTTTAGGGATGCTATACTTTCAGTAGATAATAATAGTTTACGTAATGTTGCTAAAGGGCCTGATGGATCTACCTACAATTAAACAAATAATAAACTATCAA